CCGGAGCCCATCGGGGGGTTCCCCCTCCCGGAGCATCCCCTCCTCGCCCGCCGCTGCCCTCCCTGCCAGAGCATCATGCATCAAAGGGGAAAGTTGCTCCCAAGCCAGCTTTTGGGGCCAGGTCACGCCAGGTTGAGTACGGTCATCTCCTCGCCAGGTAGGAGCAGCCGCTGCAAACGGCGTTGGGCGAGCAGCCAGGCTCCGGTTTAAAGGTGGCGTCGTTCAGCAGTAACACCTCATTAAACCCTCAGTGCAGGGCTTTTTTTTTTTTTTTTGGTCATGATGCTGCTGGTGCTCGCAGCCTGGAGGGAGATAAGCTGTGCCCTGCATCTTTGCATTGCCCGTGCCCCCCCAAGGGAAGGATTATGTTGCCCAGAGTGGGGAAAGGTGAGCATCCCCGACTTGTGCTCAGCATCTTCACTCCCTCCGCAGCAACTGGAGACCTGAAATGAATTTGAGATGAGCCAGTGACCTTTGGAAAAGCCTGATCTGCAGTTAGCGCTGATGGGTCCAGGGCAGCGGAGCTGCTCACCCTGGAGGAAGGATGGCAGGGCAGGGAGAGAATCCTCCCTCATGGCTCCTGCAAGGCGACAGCCCCAGCACCTGAAGACCTATTTATTCTGCCAGGGGCTGCTAATGCAGCGACTCTCTTGCCTCAAGTCACACTGGGAGTGATGAGGAGCCAGCTAGCAACAGGCTTTCTGGCAGGAAATCCTAATCCCACCCCAGCTTCCCATAAACCAGGAGCCCTTCTGGGCTCAGCCACCTCCATGGCACGCAAGGGATTCAGAGACGGATTTGGCTCCAAGAAGGCCCGGGTCCCCCCGGATGCCTGTCCTGTGGTTCCTGCCTCGCCCTCCCGGGGGGGGAGCCTCAGCTACGGCTGCCCCTGCGGCTCCTCAGGGACAGGTCATTCAAGAGGTGCCCTGAAATAAATCCCCAGGGAACATATTCCACTGACAAATGGAAATGCTCCAGCAACATGGCCCTGCTTCTACCCTGAGAGCTCAGCAGCAGGTAAGCTGGTCTTTCCCTCCACAGACAGAGAGGAGATACAGAAACAGGAGCAACGGGCCTGTGGTGGGCAAGGGGGACACAGACACACACACGGACAAGGGCACTGTGAAGTCAACCAGTTAATCCCATTTTATTGTTTCCAATACAAATGACGTACTCCTTTCCAGCAAGGGTGCCACTGTGTAAGGCTTTTGGTCTGTAACATCTGGCTCTGTTGACAAAATCCCTTGACCTCAAAACCAACCACCCTAGGCTGTTCTGTAACGGCACTTTGGTTATCTGGGCTTTAATGAATGACCTTTATGAGCAAGGCAGAGTGCATCCCTCCACAGATCAAGAAAATCCTCTCTAAGTCTTCAAATCCCATTAACAAAATGATTGTACAAACAACGTGACCAAGACAAGCTGTCCCACCCCGCTGCCCGCAGGGAAACCCAAGCAAAGTCCAGTTCCTCCCAGGAGCCGCTGAAACATCTGCCTGGTTAGGAGCCACAAATGCACACAGAGATGCTGGTGCAGAGTGGGATGACTCTGGCAGATCTTCCCAGCCTGGAGTTTCCTCCTAGTATTTATCGTATGTTCCTCTGTACTGCAGCCACCTTTTGAGGGTGAGAGTATTAGAAAGGAACTTGTACAGAATCAATAAGGAATTACATGGAAAAGAGGTATCAGTTTAATTAAAAAAAAAAAAAAAAGGAAGAGAAAAAAAAACAGAAGGAGACATGAAACATGAACACTGTCAGAAGACAGAAGCTGCTCCTCCCCAGCAGCTTCTCACGGTTTTATCTTTGCTTGGCACAAGTGACTGGCAAGGAGGGAGGCCAGCAGGTTATATTCACTCCTGTCAGCACAAGACAAAGCCAAAACCTTTAAAGACAAACACCAACCTTTAACAAGACATGAAGAACAGAGACAACAGCCTAGAGAGTCGGATCAACACCTGAGAGGCTTGAAGAATCTCAACACCAATCTGCAAAGCCTTAAAAAAAAATTTTTCCTCATTCTGCTTATGAAAATCAGGAGGAGAAAGGATGGCCAGCCATCCCAGCTGGTGCCTAAGCCTTGCGCTTCTTTGCAGCCGGCTCTCCCTCTTTCCCCAGCCACTGCTGCAGGATACCAGCGCTGGTTTTCTTGGGCGAAGGGCTATGGATGAACTGGCTCGTCCATCTGGGCAAGTCATTTTCTTTCTTCTGGGGAGAGCCCTCCTGGGAGTTTTTTAACCAGCCCAGCATCACTTTGCTGCTCGGGGTGGCTTTGACCTCCTGGAGAGACAAAAGACAGTGGGAGGAAAGTCAGAAGGACAGCGAGAGCAGAGCAGGCAGCCGACTCCGAGAGCCGGACCAGAGCAGGATGCAGTGGATGGAGCCGCGGCCCTGCCTGCAGTCAGGCACATCTGCAGGAGGTTCCCCGGGTCCTGGGGAACAGGCTTGTTCCAAGCCCCATTTCACAGGGCATTTGCCTCATTTGGCAGAGAAACCCTGGCACAGGGTGACAGTTTATTTCTGGAAGTGGAAGGAAGGGAATCTGTTTGGAGCTCTGCACTCCAGCATCAAGCACAGGCATGCCCTGCGGATGCTGCCTGCTGCCGCCCCTCCTGCAGCCTGGCAGCACTGTTCCCGCTCAGGGACATCACCGTGGCCAAGCTCTCCTCTGCCAATCCTCCCACCAGCACTCACCTTCTTGGCTCCCAGCTCAATGGGTGCCAGACACTCAGGCGCGTTGTTGCGGACACTGTTGACAAAGGTGGACACTGGGTGGAAAACGATGTTCTCTGTGGGCTGGATGAGTTTAACCGCTTCTTGGGTTGGCACTTCAGCAAAGTCCAGCCATTTCCCGATGGCCTCGTCCCCGTCCAGGATGGCTGGCATCCTAGGAGACAAGACGGTCAGCGCCAAAGCCTGGTGCCGATATGGCAGAGCGAGGTGGCAAAAGCCAGGCTTTTAAGTCAGCAAGGAGCCAGCAGCTCGGGGGGGAAACAGGGGGAAAACCAAAGCGGTGGGATGCTCTTCTGCAAGGCAGAGCGCGCGTTTGCTTTGCCCAGGTAGCTGCTTTCCTGGAAGAGGCAGAGGGGTTGACTGCCAGGCCCAATCAGGCAGAGAGCGATCCAACTCTGGAGAGCGATCCAACTCTGACTGCTGCCCGCCAGGGCACAAAGATGGTGATTTATGGAAAGGGCGTGAGCCAGTGACCCGAAACAAGCTGGTAATGTTGTAGTGTTTGTCTCCCAGGGCATCAGGAGGAGGCAGGGCTCCCTGCCTGCGTGTTGCCAGACCGGCGTTTAAAGGCGCAGTTTTCCTCCTCACCCCCACCCACTGCCCTGCAGCCCCCCCGCCCGCTCTCACTTGCCTGTGATGGATGAAGCTCACGTCCTTGGAGGCATCCACAGTGATGATGGTGTAAGTGTACAGCATTTCTCCTCCTGCCGGCGGCTCCCAGCAGTCGAAAATCCCAGCCATGGTGAGCAACCTCCAGCCTCGCCATTCCTCGTCTCCCTCCTTCTCCTCGGCCTACAGGAGAGAGGCCCCATCGCCCCGGTCAGTCCCAACCCACAGGCAGCTGAAGCATCGCAGACTTGCCAGTGTCATGGCAGGTCAATGACTCAGATCTAAGTCATGAACTGATCTGAGGGCTTTCCAGGAGCCCTTCTACTAATGTGAGGTAACTCCAGGAGAAGTACCGGGAGCGTCATCTCCCCACAGGCAAGCGAGAGCCCTGCTCGCCTTCTGAACATCCCGTCCACCGGCTCAGCTGAAGGAAAGAGGTAGCGAAACTCCCAGTCCAGTCCCCTGCGAGACACATCGCCCACCCATGCAAATATCTGGCATGCGGGGAGCAGCGAGCGTGACGGTGGGGACGCTGCGGCACCGTTTCCAGCCAGGGGACCGCAGCAGCAGGGACTGCTGGCCGCAGAGGGATGCCGGGGTGCTGAGCCCGTGGTGGAACAGAGCACCGTTGGGAAACAAAGATGCCCAGGGATGGGCACAACTGGAGGGAAGGGGGCTTTTCCCAGGGCAGCTGGAGGGAGCAGGGGCCCAGACCTGAGCACAAGCATCCAGACATGGCGAGGGACTCCGTACCTCAGCATCCTTGGTCTGGGGGAAGTAAATGAAATACGGCTGTTTCCCCCCACTGTGCTGCTGCCACTCGTAGAAGCCATCTGCCAGAACGACACAGCGCTTGCCCTTGAGGAGAGCACCCTGGGGCAGAGAGAAAACACAAGTGAGCTGTGAACAGCAGCCCCGGGCAGCCCATGAGAGAGGACGGGGGCTGCTGGGACCACCCAGCCCGCTCGCTCCCTCCTGGGGCTCCCCTAAGCTGCCCCACGGGGCGCACAAATGCCACCACCAACGCTGCGATGAAAGATGAGCTTCACCAGTGAAAACCTTTTCAGTACTTCTATTTGAATGAAATCCGCCAGCTCTACGGTACAGGGACTGAAGTCCCCTGTGCAGCAGGCAAACGGTGACTGGTACTCACTAGGGAGATGCTTCAAGCTCTAGTTTTGCCAACTGCATGATCTCTTCAAGCTGGACACGAAACCAGCAGCAACTCACCTTGTAGGAGGACTTCTTCAGCATGGTATCGCTGCGGCAGTTGGAGGTATTAAACTGCATTTTGGAGGGGTCGTCCTTTTTGAACCAGGAGGGAACCAGGCCCCAGCGCATGTCCATGAGGACCCGCTCGGAGGAGTCGGCATCCTTTCAAACGAGACAGAGAAACACCTCGGGTGAGAGGTACATCGAAGGGACCACGAGCATCGCCCACAGCTTGAGAGGAGGGCTTCGCGGAGCCCTGCAGAAGCGGCTTCTCCCCCTGCAAGGGGGGAACAGGCCAGCGTCTCTGCCGAGAGCCGAGCTGGGGCTCACAGTCCCTCCGCCACCAAAGCTGCCTCTGCTCTTCTGCAGGGCTGCCACTCACAAGCCGTGCAGAAATAGCCACTAAATATCACAGAAGCACAGAATGGTCAGGGTTGGAAGGGACCTCTGGAGATCATCTAGTCCAACCCCCCTGCCAGAGCAGGGTCACCTACAACATGTTGCACAGGATGGCATCCAGGCGGGTTTTGAATGTCTCCAGTGTGGGAGACTCCACAACCTCTCCGGGCAGCCTGTGCCAGTGCTCTGCCACCCTCAAAGGAAAGAAGTTCCTCCTCATGCTTAGATGGAGCTTCCTGTGCTCAAGTTTGCAATATAATAATATAACCCTTTACATTTTCTTAACAGCTTTCCTGTAAGAATTAGTCTTCAGCAGAAAGCCTAAGAATATTTTGCAGGAATAAATAATGAAGTGGCTCAGTGAGGCTCAGCCGGCAACCCTGGAAGAATGAACGCAGTTCTTTTTCAGCGGGAAGTGCCTGGACACGTGAGCTCCCCAGCTCTTAAGTAAACAGTTACATCACGCTGGTGTCAAGGTCCTCAAAACTTTCTTTTTTAAAGCGAGCGTCCCACAGGGCATAAGCCTCACCTTCATTTTAATAACGTGATTTCTGCTGACCTGTCTCACTTTCACTCCTTGTGCTTTGCATATCATCTGCCTTCGGACAATGGAAACGGTTTGTGGCTTTCACTTCTCCCCCAGCTCCCTCTCGCTTTCTGCCCGCAGCTGCCAGCCCCAGGCAGCGAGGCCCCCGGGGGCAGCTGCTCCCAAAGAACTGCAGTAGAGATATATATATACCTACTATAGGTGTGTGTATATATATAGGGACGTGTATGTGCCCAGTTTTGTGAAGTCTTCTGGAGCCTCCTACAGATGAGGGGTGGCAAAAAGGGGGCACCTTACACCGCGCCCCTGTCCCAACAGCTGAATAAGAGATGCACAACCGAGCGGGTGTCCGCCTGTGACCCTGTGTGACACCCATATTCTTCTGCTCCATCAGCTTATCGGCTGCTCTGGGGGTGGATGTGGGACCCCAGGGCAGGAAAGGAAGGCACAAAGGATGCCCGATGGCATCACCCACGGCACTCCAAAGTGGCCCTACTGAGGCGTCCCACCCCATCCCCTGTGCCGGTAACAGCTGTGAAGTGCAGCGGCCCCTTTCGCTGCCCCATCAGCCAGGAAGGAAGAGCAGAGGGAGCCCAGGTTGGGGCGTTTCAATTCAGCGCACCCAGCTTCACCCTGCTGAGCACCACAGAGCAGCAGCTCGCCGGGCACCCTCTTATGCGGAAACCAAAGGAGATGCACAGACAGTTGCACAGGCTGCTCAGGTTGTCTGGGGAAGGTCCGGTGAGGCTTAAATTAGCCAGGATAACGGTCACCACAGGTGTACGGTTATTTTACAGCTCTGAAGTTGAGATTTTTATTTTTTTTTTTTCCCCTCCACCCTCCCCTACCAATGCAACCTGGATACTCTCAAGCAGCATTATGAAACGAAAAAAAAAAAAAAAAAAGCCTCAAGAAAGCAGAATAAAACCAGCAGAGCAATTATAGACATTTGGGAAAAAACTCTACCACAGTTAATCACTTATGTAGGAATTTTCGCAGAAAACATACTGCTATGCTGGGAGCGTGGCACCGATTCCCCACCCTCCTCAGCAGCACGCAAATATTAACGAGAAGAGACATCTTCGCCATTAGAAATATCCAACGCCCGCCACACGCACCGAGCAAAGAGAAGCCGAAGACAGGGTGACAATTCGGATTGGGTCCCGCACCACCCCGGGAGGCACACCCCCGCTCCCCGCGCTGGGGCACCCTCCAATTTAAGCCACGGGACACAGCGGCAGGCGGGACGCGGCCCCGGGCCGCCCCCGTTTGGGCTTAGCGAAGCGATGGGAGGGAGGTACCTGCTGGAGGTGCCGGCGGGGGAGCAGCACCGGGCCGCTGGACTGCGGGCCCTTGTTGTCCGAGGGCCGGTACCGCTCCGCCTGGATCCACTCGGGTTGTCGCCGCCGGCCCCGCCTGTCGCGATAGGCGCAGGCTCGGCGGAGGTTCTCGGCCCCCAGGGAACAGGCCGTCCGCCCGCACATCCCGCCGTCCGCCCCCGCTCTGCGCGGGGAGGACGGGGCCGGTCCAGCGCTCCGCCCCGCCGGGGAGGTGGCAGCGGGAGGGGCGGGGCATGGGCGGGGCCCCAAGCGCGGGACCGCCCCTCCCCCCCCAACGTCGCGAGACAGGCCAGTGATAGCCACGAAACGGGTTTTATTGGAACGACATAAAAAGGGGGACAGAGAGCATCTGTCACGGTCTGGTGTCGCCTCTCCTCCACCGAAACTGCCCATCCGCTGTGACACCCTCCAGTGCGGGGACAGAGCGCCCACGTAAAAATCAGACCTTAAAAACATTGTTATTTTATAGACAGAGCCCCAAATACAGCTGTACTGCCGAGAACACAAAAGCTGCTGTAGTGAACGTGATCCCTATTCTGCTGCCAGAGAAAGAAGCGTTGCCCGCGGGGGCTCAGTGTCGGGACAGTCCTGGACAAGGCAGTTTATCCGACGGAGGCCATGATCACATCCACCGGGAGCTCCTCTCTGCTGCGGGCAGTGACCTGCATCGTCACGGTGTCGGTCAGGACGAGACGAGACCGTACCAGGAGGTCATGGCCGCCCCGGAACACACCTGGAAGTGGGAGCAGGAGGAAGCAGTGAGTGCCGCCCTGCAAGCCTAAATGAACGCTGCTGCTTGGCAAGGGCAGGTTTCCCCACAGGCAGCCTGGCAAATCCCCAGCACTGGGTCAGGAGAGACCCTTGAGCAAGACTCTTACCACTGTAAAACTCAAGAAAGCAAAGCCTAAAATAAACTCCAGCTGAGAAGAGGTCCAGGCACTCATCTAAAAGCTCCAGTACACATCCATTTTGCTGTGCAAGGGTTCTGTACTCTCCCCCACAGGCTCACTCCAAACCAGGATGCCACAGACCATGAAGATAGCAAATTCCACCCAGCTGAGCCCAGGGCTGATTCCAACATCCCCACCACCACCACAGCACCCTCCCTGATCCCAACACCAGCTGCTCTACACTTGCGGAGACAGAAACCACGGAAGGCACAAGCCTCCACATCCTACCCGGAGTGCAGTGGGCTCCATCAGCAACTCCTGCCCTTGATTTTCAACAGGCAGCTCTGTGCAACCTCCCAAAGAGCTGCTCCTCAAGCGGAGCCCTCACCCCACAGCTCACCTGCCAGGTACAGGGTGTGAGAGTTCTTGTTATCTGGCACTTTATCTGATCGCTCACAGGGCTGCATCCCCAGGAACTTCACGATATTACTAACTGCCTCTGTTAAGAAAAAATAAATAAATCAGGCTCCACGTCACAGGTATCTTAACAGGGACACACAAAGAGCATCTAAAGGTGACTCAAGCCCTCCCTACATGTTCGGGATCATGTTCCTTGTTCTGAGGGACACATGGCATTGCCCAGTATAGTGTTTTTGGAGGCCACGAGGGAGGCAAAGGCAACACACAAAACCCCCACTGCCACAAGGCAGTTTTGTTATCTGATGCAGCAAAGGTGCAACAGAAACAGGGGGGTGAACGAGTCAGACACGGAAGTAGGAGAGTGCAGCTGGCTGCATGCTTACTGTGCAACCCTGACAGCCTGCTTGCTTCTCTGGGGACAGATACCGAGGGAAGGAGACACAGGTCTTCAGCAGGCATTCGAAAAGGCCTCAGGAAAGGTATTTCAAGCCCGAGGCATTGTGCAAGGAAGTACAGAGATGGTTATAGGACAAGGACACCCTTCTAAGCCATCAAAAGGACAGAGCTTTTACAGGCTTCTCAGAAACGAAAGGAGTCTTTAATACAAAATGAAAGAGGGCTTACACCACAAGCCTGCCCACCAACCTCATGTCTTCTGCTCTTTTCATGTTTTTTTATTAGTCTTGAGTTCTAAGGTAAGAGCATCTCCTCCTTTCACAGAAGGAAAGTGGGAGCTCACAGCAGAACTATGGTCTGTCTGCTTGGGAGGGTAGAGTGAGAGTGCAAAGCAAGATGTTTTCTTGCCTCCCACAATCCAGCTTGGTCTCCACAGGGCCCAGAGCACTCATTTGGAACTAACTTGTTATCACAGTAACTGTAGCTCCACATTTAACAGCTGCGGTGAACTAGCTTGTTTTGTCCTATTAGCCTTTCCGTGAGATCTACAGCGAGCCAGACTGCCCCTCTGGGCTGCCTGCTGGAGGGAGAGGAATGTTAAGAGCTCTGCTGGGCTCAGACACCCCCTTACCTTCAAGGGTTTTAATAGCAGATAAAGTAAAGGTCTCTTCCTTTTCATACTCGTCACCCACTTCATCCCAAGCTGCTCCAAAGTTTGGCTTCAGAACTCGTTGGATGTGATCAGCCACTGTTACCTCCAGGTCTTCAAGCTGATGACAGAAGAGGTTCAAGTCAAACATGGTTGTTCTTAACCCTGCTCTCTCCAGAGCGAGCTCTAGAATGGATTCTCTGAGAACAGGTGAATGTGGGAGACAGCTTCCACTTCCACTCATGAATATGTCAGAGCAAGCCCCGCCCCTTCCAATTTGCTCATGCAAATAACACTTAGTTGAGCAACCGCTTGGCCTGAGAAAGCCACTTGTCACACCATTTCCAGGGTTTACAAAGCAAGTTCCCATTCTGAGCACAGCCCTTGGCCTGACAGAGATCAAAACAGAGAACAAAAGCTAAGAAATAGCTGCTGGTGTCCACACAGATGTAGCATTTGCTTCCCCAAAATCCACATAAGCTTGTATTTTGCCTTTCTGGCTCATCATCTTGTATGCTGGTAAAGTACCATGAGACACTGTCAGACACGTGCTATCACCTAACGCTGTGTGCTGGGTTAGCTGAACTGCTGCTCTGACTATGTGTGTGCAAGGCAGAACCGAGCCTGTCCCTCCGGATCACGTATCAAAGAGCAGTCAGTGTCAGAGCAGTCCAGACATCAGCCTGCATTCATTTTTGGAATCGCTGCAGGAAAGAATCTCCTCCCGATTCTAGTTGAAACACATGGAAGAGTTTGTTTAAACAGCACTCAAACACCATGGTGACTGGTGGGATGCAGAGAAAGGGGTTAACCTTGCACATTCCATTGGGAAAATCCCTCCCCACTCCTCCTGAGAGGAGATGTGTCCTCAGTGACTCACTGCACAGCAGTGCCTCTAATCAGATTCGCAGCAGTGACAGGCAACACACAGAAAACAGCCTCTGGAGCTAACAGGGCAAGATGAGGTTGTGTCACAACATCTCTTCCTCTCCGGAGGGTAAACACCACCCTCTGTGAGCCAGTCCCAGTTTCTGACCAAGCATAAGTTCAGATTTTTCCTCTGTGGTAAAACAGCCTGCCTGGAAATGACAGAGCCTGATACAGAGGTGCTTCTGCAGCATCGGTTCTTTCATCAGTCTTAGTGCTGGAGAGGGAAAAGCCCCACCTTCCCCAGAGCAAGAACAAGGATGGGAATCTGCCTGAAATAGGCAGATCACGAGGCAATTAACTGTGCCCCCACGGAGAGCAAATCACGGAGAACAAAAGATGGCCAATGGCCCTCTGTCTCTACAAACTTGACTGTGCAACCACTGGAGCTTGTGGGGCACAGCCAGCCAAACCTGGAGGACACACTGTGGCCTCCCAAAACATAGGTATCCTGCAGTCAGGTGTGTGCCTGGAGAGCAACAGCAGGATTCTCCAAATGAGACAAAGCAAGCTCTCCAAACCCGCATCTGTGTCCTGGGACAGACACCACAGAGACAGCAAGAACCCCCTCTTCATGCGATGTTGCCCACATCAATGTCAGTGGTCACGTCGTTGCTTGCAGGGATCCGAGTACAGATCACAAAAACCCTCAAAAAGACTGCAGTTTCTGTGATCAGCTCCTTACCACGTACTCATCCTCGTAACCCTCGTCATCCGTCTCACCCGTGTTCGGATCACAGTCCTTGACAGTGAACTTCATCATGCAGCTGAAGGTACAGGCCACTGGAAACAGGGGAGACAAAGGCAAAGCTCAAATTACCACCAGATCTGCACTCCCCTGTGGCAGAAGGGGGCTGGGAAACTTGGGGCAGCTGGGTTCTCCCCCTCACTGTCAGCAGCACAGGCTTAGCCAGCAACCTAAAGAGGGGTCTCCAACAGCTTCTGTCTCTCAAGGACAAGGTATTTATTTGTACTATTAAGGGTAGCAAACAGTGATAAAGACAGGTTCATGATGGTTATACAAGACCATGATCCTCAGATCAAGTGCTATTACTGATGAACCTCGAGTTGTGTTGGGAATACTAACTAAGCATGTCCCACCAGCGCCCTGTGAAGAGGCAACATCCTTATCTAGAGATCAGTTAATGCGCCTCTAAAATGAAGCCACCTTGCACTGCAACACAGCAGCTAATTAATACCACTCAGCTAGGAGAGGAAGCGATGACTCATCCCCAAGAAAACGAGCACTGCTGGGTGAACAGCAGCAACACATGCAGGTGAGCAGTCCCAGAACACAAGCCAGGGAGACCAAAGCACACGTAAGGCCAGGCTCATGTTTTGGACAGTGTCAAATGAGGGGATGTTCAGTTCAGATAGACATCCCTGAAATTCTAGCCGTTTGTCCAAAATACTCCTTTGCTACTCAGAGCATTTGGGCACTCACAGCACATGACAGGTACCAGTCTCCCCACATACTAACACGAAGAACAGACAGGCTAAGGAATATGCCAGGGTGCATGGGAGAAAACTCAGCAGAGCGCTGAATGCTCATCTGCCATCTCCAATAGCCTGACTTGACAATGCTACAGCACAAGGGAAGCAGGGGAAGATAAGGGAGGGCTGACAGCCTCCAAACAGAAAGAGAAGTCATGCTTAGCATCACTCAGGGCTGCACCCACACACAGGCTATAAATATCTGGCTAGGATGCAAGGTAGAATGTGTGTGGGCGAGCAATACAGTATGCTTAATTTGGGGGACGTCAGGAAAACACAGAGTGCAAACTGTTTACCTGCAGTCGGATCCTCTTCAGACAGTGCCACCAGCGTGTAGCAGGTACCCGGCTGGTTGTACACCAGGGTTT